AGCTGTCTAAGGAGGGGAGGGGGAAAGTCTTTTGCACATTGTAGAAACATCTGTCTCTGTCGTGCCTAAAGTTTAGTACAATTACAAACTTGCTTATGTTTTTGCACGTAAATGAAGCCTAATATCCTCTTACCCTGAATACCAAATGCTGGTAAATGGGAAAATAAAGCTCTAATACCACATCTCCTCAACTTTATTTTTTAAGTCTAAGGAGGGGAGGGGGAAAGTCTTTTGCACATTGTAGAAACATCTGTCTCTGTCGTGCCTAAAGTTTAGTACAATTACAAACTTGCTTATGTTTTTGCACGTAAATGAAGCCTAATATCCTCTTACCCTGAATACCAAATGCTGGTAAATGGGAAAATAAAGCTCTAATACCACATCTCCTCAACTTTATTTTTTAATAGCTCTTACATAATGATCTCTGCAGTGGAAATGTACTTAATGGTGTTTTTCTGGAATTTATATGAAAGGTATAAAACACAAATATATTGGTCTCTATTCTCTCATGAGCATTAGTGGGATGCATGCTTGTTATCCCCATATGTAGATCTTAGAATAAAATGGAACAAGACTTTCTGTACCAGAGGCAAAATACTGTGTATTGAATTTGGTTTTTGTGATGTGTAAGGAATGTGCACTGAGAAGAGTTCTTTGGATCCAGAGTAACCATTTCATGAATTGCTTTTATTGTTGAAATTAAGAAACTGGCAGGCCATAACACCAGAATCAATGTACGCTGCTGCTGAGCAACTGTGAGACAGATGGAGAGCAGAGACAAAAGTTCATCACAGTTCTGCGTGTTAAAAGTAGCGCAAATAGCCATTGCTATGTGAATGCTAGGGACAAAGTTTTTTTTTTTTCTCTGCTGTGCTTTGTAATAGTAGGTTTTAAATCTGTGGTTGTCAGGGGCTGCTAGTAGCTGAATTAGAAGTGCTCAAGGAAGAGGAGAGAGAAAGTATTCATGGTCTAAACGTCTGAAGAGAAAATATAAGTAACTTGCAACAGAAGCACCAGCTCTTTGTGGTATAACAGCCTCCTTGGATATGCAAAGGTGTCAGTACAGTGGGCCCCAGCATGAAACAGTGAAATTTGTGAAGTACTGCTAGCCCCAAATACTAATTTGTGAAATATTTTCTTTAGCATCTGTTGATCAGAAGCAGCTGCTTCCCCCGAGGCTTGTTGGACGAGAGGAGGGTGTCCTGAGGGGCAGACGATCAGCAAGTCCCGTCCTCCCAAGCAGCCAGACCACTGCATTCCAGCCAGGTACATCTTGACCAGCTTGCATGTCCATGGAAATGCATCAGGCTCTCTGTGCAGTGTCATGAATCTGTTGTCTTCCATTTTTTTTCTATAGAATTGTGTGGCCCTACAGATGCTCAGCCAGAAGCACTTTCATCTGCCTCAGCAAACCTATTCAAGCCCAATAATGTCCACGTTCAGACCCTGGTGACCTCTCAGCCAAGTCTGTTAAATGTGCAAGATGATACCAGCAAAGAAGATGTAATTTTCTTCTAATTGTTTCCATTTAAAGATTAATCTTCTGACATACTGTTTCAAGAACTCAGGCCCCAGTGTTCAACGTGACAGAGATCTGACATGGGTGTCTTTTCATCCCTGCCTTGTTACTACTAGCAAGGACCAGACCAGGATTACTGTTCTACTTTGTTGGCTTCTCTGCCAGCAGCTCAGAATGAGGGCACAGTAGTAACATTTTGCTTTTAAATTCTCCAAACATGGAAATGTATTGGCACATGGCATGGGTATATAAATTCAGAGCATATTAAAATGCTGCCATTTATTGTAATGTGCTCTTTTCGGAGAAGGTACACTCTTTGTGGGCACCACCCTGTAAATTGTTGTAGTTGATGTTGAACCGCACAGATTTTTATGTAAAAAATTTTAGTAGTGGGCCCCAAAATGGCTGCGAATTTTTAAATCCATTTTCACAGGTCGGTGTAATGGATTATGCTAATCGTGTGTTGATAACTAGTTGACTAGCAAGCCAGTCTCCTTACAGCCAGGCATGACAGACATTGTGATACCCGCTCAGAGGAGCCAGACTAGCATCTCTGTTTCTTTAGTGAATTCAGTGGAGCACATGCTCAGTGGCCAGGTACAGTGGAAGAGAGAAGGTAAGGTTCTTAACAGAGTCTTCAAGGGTCAGGAGCTCCACCTGCTTGTGGAAGACAAGGGTTGGACGTGTGAGAATATACAACGGTAATGAAGAGTTGGACTAAATGCACTGGGATACCTGTCTCCTTGGAGACATTGGGTAGCTCTCCACATTAGTGGGAGCGGTACAGGTTCCCAAGCAAAACTCATGAATTGGTTCAGAATGAACTTAGCGACTTGGATTTTGTTCTTTGCTGAAGGCATGTATAAGGAGCATTTGAATGCAGTAATTTATTGTCTTGTCTAATCCTAAGTTTTCTGCATCTCTTGTTTGTCTGTTAACTTGTTGGGACATTACTCCAAGTACCAGAAGATATCAAAGCTGCTGTTACTGCAGAGACTTCTCTGCAGCACTGTGTTAGGAATGAAGGGAATAAGAACTGTTTGGTTTTAAAATAAAAAAACAAAACAAAACAAAAACAAACAAAAAAAAACAACAAAACAAAAAACCTCTTGGCTAAACCTATGTTGGTTTAGCTGCTTACAGCTAAACCAGCTTTGATACCTCTTGTTAAATGGGTCAGTACTTAATCATGGAATGGTGATGACATTAAGTGTTCTGCTCAAAAGGCATTATTTCCCTTTGTAGTAATTTGCACAGTCGTTTTGTTGTATTCTATTACTTCACTCTGTATCTCAGTTCTTTATCACACACATCACCTAAGGATGTGTATTCCAATATATGTTGAATGTGACCGGTCAGATATATTGTGCACAGGAGAGATTGTTTAGAGGGTATTATTACAGAATTAAAGAAATCAGTATCTCAGACCTTAAAAACTTGGGTTAATACCTTTCAGAACATGGTTGATAATAGGTTTTTTCATATCTTTAACCCTGGTTTAAAGTGATTTTTAGCACTGGTGGATGGAATGCCTGGTCAATTTTCCATCCGGTCGCACGGCAATGGCATTGAATGGCAATTTGTCAATCTCTTCAAATCGTTGATGCTGGCTCAGTGGTTAGGCCCTGTGTGACGTTAGTAATGTTCTTTAAGGCCGTAACTTCACTTTGCATGAAAGTTTTAAAATTATTTCAGTAGTTACAGTGCAAGAAACATTATAAATTTTCAGTAGAAAATACAGAGTTTATTTTCAAGTGGTGATGATTTGGGTTATTGTCTTCAGACAAGAAACTGAAAAATCCGAATTTACTGGTCAGTGTGAGAGGGGAAAGGTAAGCTACAAAATACTGAATTGGTCTTAGGGAGCAAGCACTCCTTGCTGTAACATTTCTTGGATTTATGGGTCTTTTTCTTTGCTAAGTGATACTGGTATAAACCTGAAGCAGTGGCACTGAGTTCAGTGAGAGGAAACTCCAAACCATCTGGCTTTTTACCAGACTGGTGATACTCCGCCACCCCTCAACAAATTATCACTATGAAATTGGACACACTTCACTCTAATACCAAAAGGCTGCTTGGTAAATCATCAGCATTGCAGAATTTATATAGATTATCAGTGGCTAGATTTGCAGGAAACAATATGTTTTTGCATTGTTGTGATATGATGATGATGATGGTTAGCACATAGTTCTAGCCTGTATTCATTTTTTGCATTCCTAAAAGCTAGGTTGGAATGGAGGGGAAATTCTTAAAATTAACCTAACTTCTGATCAAGCCAGCATGTGAGATCCAGCAGCTCTATAGGACTGATTTTTCAGTCAGCTGATGTGGAGACTCCAGTCATCTCTGATACCTATGTAATTTCTCCTGTAAACATACAGTGATGCAGCAAAAATGCACAGTATGTTCTCTCCTTCATGCTGTGGTTTGGGCCACTCCTAGTGAAAACTCTATGCCCCCATTGCCTTAAATTACCAGGTTTGTAGGAGTTTTAGCCTAAAGCGAAGTTGCATCAGTGGAATAAACCACCTCAACCAAAGAGGGATGTCTCTGGGTATTTGAAAACAATTTTTGGAAACATTTATTTGGTTTAATGTTGTGCCTGTCTTAAAGTATGGGAGAGAGTATTTTATGGACCAAAGGGGTTTATTTGGCTACTTTCTTCTTCTTCTGTGCAATGAATGAACTCAGATACAGAACAGTGACATCTGGAAAATAAAGTCTGCAGTGAGGTGTCTTTTCTTTTAATGTTTTAACTTAAACGTAACTGATTTAGTACCCGTTGTCAGCAGTGCTTCAAGTAAGTTCTGGCTGTTAGCAAATGGACAGAGGACCATTACAGGCTAAGCTCTTGGTTCAGCACCCCAAAAGCTCCTTGGAATATGGGTCTTCAATCTGTAACTGAGAAATTATCTTAAGTCATTATCTGTCCTCAATACACATGTCTAGCTGCAGCTAGCTTTATGAAAACTGTTTCCACCTTGAATAGAGACTGCATCTTCTTTCACTTGGGTCAAAATCACTTAAGTGCCATACTAGGTATTCACGTGGCTTCCTGTTCAGTACCATACCCAGTGGGGAGAAGGTTTTAGAATTAGCAAATGCTGTGCGGAGTTTACCATGCCAGAGTATGGTAACATTATTTGTAGAAGGCTGAGGGAAGCAAGTGAAAATTTTCTTTAAATTAATAATGGGTCATCTCGTCACTTCTGCAAAACAATCTGTGAAATTGTTATCACTCCAGTTGAGTGAACTGGTTTTGGACTTTTTACTCAAATCTTGTTCCTAGAAAAATAACTCTTCTAGGCAAATGAGATTGCAAAATACTGCTGTGTCCTGGGCTATTGATTCTGAGTAATATCCTTTCCATTTGACTTTTTTATTACTTCAGATAAAAATTTCCTTTTAAGTGATATCTGATGATTAGGCAGTTCAAAATTCTGTGCCTCCCAGGTGCCTTTTGGCTTCTTTCTGAACTGGGGTGTGGAGGAAATTGCAGCACAAGCTTTGAACTGCCACCTTCTTTGCTTTGTGTCACAGCCTTAAAATTATTGTCATGTTTGTCCTTTAATATTGTGCTGTTGCAATGTAGAGGCTGTTTCTATGGTTCTGATTTTCAATTTTAACTCTGGTGTAGAGGATGCTTCCTCTTTC